AGTCTTTGGATCATAGTGATGACAAACTTTACTAATATGGAAGGTATACTAGGTACTTTTCTTATTTCAAAATAGCCCAATAAATAGTAACTCAATGGTGGAAGGGTTTATTTCTGGTCACATTATGATGGTGCAGCCCATCTGATAGGGAAGGCATGGTGGCAGGAGCGTGAGGCAGCTGGTCATACAGCATCCACAGTCAATGTGGATGGAGGCACAGAGGAGGGATGCTGGCACTCAGCTCACTTTCTCCTTTCTATCCAGTCAAGGACCCCGACCCACGGAATTATGCCACCAACAGTGTACAGTGATGCCCCCTACTTCAATTAACTCGATCTAGAAACATCCCCCAGGACAAGCCCAGAGATATATATATAGAGCCTAGATGATTCTAGACACTGTCAAGTGACAATATTAACCATCACATAAGGGAACTACCCTGTTTGGTGCTAACAGCATCCTCAAAGAATGTGAAAAATTATCAATGATGTGATGTGGAGAGGATCCCCTGGGAAGGAATATTCCAGAGAAACAGGTTCAATGGGCAACTGTTTATCCATAATTCCAGCTATGAGCCCTGTCAGCATCTCACATTTTCTTCCGGTCTATGGACTATTCTGTCACCAAGTTAAAAATGTCACCACTAAGACAGGAAAGAGATTACACTTATCCCACTGTCCTAGTTAGCTTTAACTATCAACTTGACACAGTTTGGAGTCATTTGATTAGAAAGTTTCAACATAAGAATTGCCTAGATGAGATTGGTCTATGGTCATGTCTGTGGAGGCACTGTCTTGATTGTTCATTAATGTAGGAGGGCTCAGCCCACTGTGGGTGACACCATTCCCTGGGCAGTGGCCCCAAGCTGTATAAGAAAATCTAGATAACCCTAAGCCTGAGAGTGAGCTAGCGAGCAACATTCCTTCATGGCTTCTACTTCTAGTTCCCGTTTGAGTTCCTGCCCTGACGTGCTTCAGTGGTGGACTGTGACCTGGAAGTGTTGGCAAATTAGTCCTTTCCTCCCCTAAGTTGCTTTTGACCAAAGAGTTTGATCACAGCAACAGAAGGAAAACTAGAACATCCACTTTTTCAGCTGGGGTCTGGAGCAGCTGTCTTGAAACACTTGAGGAGATTCTGCCTGTGTATCCTGCCATCTCCAGAGTCTGGAGTCAAACTGTATGAGGTGCTGGTGTTCCTCACTGTCTCTGCTGTGACCAAGTTTTTTTTTCCTTTTTTCAGGATATGTGGGACCGGGTAGGAAAACTTGAGAGACTTGGATATGTTGTGCTGATGGGAAAGGACTAAAAATAAAAATGCAGACAAAGAATTTGGATTTGATTGAAAACTTGTTTTTATTCTATCCATGGAAGGGGAGGCTAGAGGGGAGGGCAGATTAATAAGGTATGTAAGAGAACACCAGCTTCCCGTCCTCTCGAAGTCTTTAATGATGTTTATGGATCTACAGAAGGGGGTTGGTAGTAGCTGTAGGGGCCTCATAGCCATCCCAGCTCATTTTACACAGGAGCAAATTGAGACCTCTGGTTTTGGCTGCCGACATAATTAGCTACTAAGCCTGGCCAGGAGCCTGGAGTCATTGCTCACAGGCTGCGTTTCTCTCTGCTGGACCTACGTGTGTTTGCAGAAAGCATTCCACAAGATGAGCTATTGTTACTAAATGATTAAAAATTACTAAGAATACATGATTCTTATTTTTTAAGATTCATTTTTAAATATATACACATATATATATATATATATACATATCTGTATGTCTATGAGTATAGGTGCCCTTGGAGCCCAGGGGAAGACATTGGATGTCCTGGAATCCTGGAGTCCTGGAGTCCTGGAGCTAGAGTTATAGGTGACAGTCATCATACTTGGTGCTGGGAGTTGAACTTGGGTCCTCTTGCAAGAATAGCAAGCAGTCTTAACCCTGGAACCCTCTTTCCAGCCCCAAACTTTTATTTTTAATTTAATCCCATTTAGTTTTATTTAGTGTGCATGGTGTTTTTCTTGCATGTGTATCTGCGCACCACTTGTATGCCTGGTGCCCACAGAGGTCAAAAGAAGGTATCAGATCCCTTGGAGCTGGAATAGCAAACAGCTGTAAGCTTCCATGTGGATACTGGGACTTGAACCCAGGTCCTCTGTAGGAATAGCTAGTGCTCTTAACCACTGAGCCATCTCTCCAGCTTCCCAGTCCTATATTTAATCTGTTGAGACTGATGCATTTGCAGTAGTCTGCGAGCTCTCTATCTAGCGCTGGGGCATGGTGGATGCCGTGTGAGAGGGGTGAATGGCTTACTGAAGTTAGCAGATTGAGAGACAGGCATAGCTGTGGCGGGCAAAGACGTTTTTTCTGGAATCTATGTCCGCTGCCTGGTTTTAACTCAACCCTACACAACCTCTATACAGTAGAATCATTTGGGAAGAGTCTTGGTGAGGGCTCATCTAGATTGCATTGCCCGGTGGGCATGTCTGTGGGGGGACTGTTAATTGTCAACTGATGGTTCATTGTTAATTGATGTGGGAAGACGCAGCCTGTTGTGGGCGGCGCCATTTCATGGGCTGGACCCTGAGCTATGAAAGAAAGCCATGAAAGCCAGCTGAGCATGGCTAGCAGGCAGGTAGCGTGGTGCATCTGTTTCTCTCTGCTCTTGACTATGGATCTCTTCATCTTGACTTCACTGAAGTGGTGGACTTTGACCTGAAACAGTGACCCCAAGCAAACCCTTCCTCCCTTAGGTGGCTTTTGCTCAGGGTATTTTGTGACAGCAACAGAAATGGAATTAGAAGTGGCATCAAAGGGCGACTGTGTCTTTGGTGAGGAAGGAGGGAAGGAAGTTGCTTGCAGAAGAATTTCAGGATGGAAGAGTACAATCACCTGGGAAACAGCCCCAGGGATGCCAGGGCCTAATCCCCTGGAATTCCAAACCCTCCTCGGAAAGAATTCTTGCATGTGATCGAATTAAGACTCTTGAAATGTGAGATTGTCTTGGACGATCTGGGTGGTCCCCAAATCCAATGCAAAGGTTCAGATAAGGAGGAGTGGGTTGGTGGGAATATAAACTGTTGCAGACACTGTGGAAATCAATATGGAGGACCCTCCGCAAATGAAAGACAACAGTTGGGGAGATGGCCCAGTGGTTAAGGACACATAGGTACTTCCGGAAGACCTAACTTTGGTTGCCAGTGGCCACGTTAGGTAGCTCACAGCTGCCTGTCAGTCCAGCTCAAGACGATCGGGTGCTCCTTCTGGTTCCCATGCCTCCTGCCCTCACGCGCACGCACATATTCCTCCCACCCCACATATTCATAACTTACCTTATGACCTGGGTATTGCCCAAAGGAATGAAAATCTGAGTCTGCGTACCCGCACAGTTGAACCCGCACAGTTGTGGTTGTTGTTGCACAGTCACAGGAGCTTGAATCCTGACCCAGTCTCTGTGTACTTCTACAAACGCTAAAGGGAATGTAGTACGTGTAAACGGCACAGCGCTGTGCTGCCTTAGCGGAGAAGTGAGTTACGTGTTTGGAGGGAGCCGAAGGTTAAGCTGAGTGAAGTACGTGGGACTGAGAAAGACACGTTTCGTGGCCCCGGGTGCTCATGTTTGTGGGGCCGGTACTGCTTACCATTGAGCCTGCTCTGCAGCCTCCCCCACGCTGCCTTTATTGGAGCAACTCCAAGCTGCTGCGGATCCAGTGTCCTTCTGAAACACAGCATGGACCTACTGTCTTTAAACTCTGATCGCAAATGCCTCATGCCTTGCGGGGGAGGGGGCACGATAGGAAATGTTCACTCAACCTAGGACTGGCTTTGGGGGCTCTGGGGGGGGCAGGTATAACCCAGAGTAGAGAGTTGGGGAGACTTCCTGCCATGCAAAATGAGCCTTAATGATAACAGAGCCAAGTTCTTTTCCAGACCAGGGAGAAAGTGATTAAAGTTCCTTCGAACCTCCGTGGCATTCGTATTGAGCTGTGGCTGTTTATAGTCATAAAACAACTGCAGATTAGAGGGATGAAATAGAAACAGTGGGATTCTCGCCTCCTGTCCTCCGAGGTTATTAAACCCTGCATGTTGCCAGCAGCAGCAGGGGGACTCTCACACACTTTCCCCCTGACCCTGTCATTTCTGCAAAGCTCACACAGCCTCTCCCTTCAATGAAGCAATTTTCTGCTAGGGTCCCCACCTGACTGCGCCTACTGCAGTGTGTACAGATTTTTAGGGCCATCTGCCTCTTGCTTCTCCTTTTCTCTCTCCATCCTTTCATTTCCCCTCTCTTTCTTTTCATGTTTCATTTTGTAATTGTGTGTGTGTGTGCGTGTGTGTGTGTGTGTGTGTGTGTGTGTGTGTGTGTGTGTGTGTGTATGTGTATGTTCATGGGGGGGACATTTACAGGCCAGGGACTGATTTTGGGGTTCTTCCTCAGCCATTTCTCTACCTTACCTATTTGTGACAGCATCACACACAGCTCAGTCTAGCCTCTACCTTACCATGTGGTCGAGGATATCCTTGACCATCTGATCCTCCTGCCTCCACTTTCCTTCTGATGGCTGAGATTACTACTGGGTATCACTATGTCCAGTGTATGCAGGGCTGGGGATGGAGCCCTGTGGATCCATGCGTGTCAGGCTGGCACCCTATCAGCTCAGCCTCGCTATTGCTGGAGTTTCTTTCCAGCCTGGTCCTGCCTAGCCCTTTCCCCCAAATAAACACAGGGATGCTATATTAATTATAAAATTGTTGGCCGATGGCTAGGCCTTCTTCCTGCATGGCCAATCAGTGTTTTATTCGTCAACCAATAAGAGAAACATATATACAGAAGGATGTCCCCCATCACCTCACTACTACACTCTTACTTAAATTGTTTCTCTCATGTGTCTAGTGACAGCAGCAAGCCTCCTACTGGTACAGCCAGTCACTACCTGTTAGTCACCCATGGTTTGAATGAAATGAAGCAGCCACATGACTGTGGACTTTCTCTGCTTTTTCCTTGCAGAAATCCGAGAAGCCTTTCGTGTTCTGGACAGAGATGGGAATGGCTTCATATCCAAGCAGGAGCTGGGTATGGCCATGCGCTCTTTGGGGTACATGCCGAGTGAGGTGGAGCTGGCTATCATCATGCAGCGTCTGGACATGGACGGTGAGACCTGCTTTGTACCACCAAGCTACTCCCCCTCTCCCCCTCCACGCACCTCATTCCCTGGGCTTGGGATATATACAATCTCCTGCTTGAGTCCCAGCTCAGTTTACATGTTAGAAATAGAAACTTGAACTTGATCTGGGTTTGTCCAGCAGGTCCATGTGAGCAGGGATGGCTTTGGGACAGTTACAGGGTTTGTTCAACAGGACCATGTGAGCAGGGATGGTTTAGGGACAGTTACAGGAATAGATAAGTGAAACTGATTTGGTTTGTGGAGCAATTAGACTCCCCTTTCCTTTTCCTCCCATTTTAGTCTATTGATTTATTATTTATTTTATTTATTTATTATTGTTTATTATTCTATTGATTATTTGGGGGCGGTGAAGAGCTCAGTGGTTAAGAACAAATGCTCTTCCACTCACTGGGATTCTGTTTCCAGCACCCATGTTGGATGGCTCACCACCATCTATCACCCTTGCTCCAGGATGATCTGACATCTCTGGCTTCTGTCAGAAGATACACTAATGTATACACACACATACACACACACACACACACACACACACAGAGGGAGGGAGAGAGAGGGAGAGAGACTTATAAAGGATATAAATCTTACCATACCATCTTCATGCATGTGGTGTTCATATGTGTATGTTTGTGTGTGTGTATGTACATGTGTACATGTGTATGTGTATATGTGCATGTATGTGTGCATGTGTGTGGAGGCCTCAGGATGATGTTTGGAATCATCTTTGATTGCTCTTGTTTCTTGTTCACTGAGGCAAGGTCTGTGAATCAAACACAGAGCCCCTAATTTACGTAGCCTAGCAAGCCACGTGCTGTGGGAATCCCATCTTCACCTTCTGGGTCTAGAATTACAGACCACAGCACCCATGCATATTATGTGTGGGTCCTGGGGATTCAAACTGATGCTCGTGCTCGGGTGGCAAGCACTTAACCACTGACCCACCTCTCTGTCCCCTACCTCCCTTTTTTAAAGCAGGTTGTGTGTGTTTGCACATATGTATACGTGGTTTTGCACTGTGAGAATGTGAGCACACTTGAGCATGTATGTGTAGAGATCAGAGGTCAATCTTGAGCCATTCTTGAGGCACCACTCACCATCATCTTTGAGACAGGATCTTTCATTAGGACTCATGATTCACGACTGGAGACCATTTCCCCTCCTGTCTCCACTCCTCGGTGCTGGGATTACAAAGATGCGCTTCTATGCCTACTTCTTTTTTAACGTTCATTCTAGTGATCTGTACTCTGGTTCTCATGCTTACAAGGCAAGTAACTTATTGACTAAGGTGTCCTCCCAGTCCCCGAACCCCTGCTCCACACATGGGGCATAGCTCTCACCACAATTTACAGGCAGCAAAGCGGGTAGGAGATTCTCTGTTCTCCAGCAGTTGCTACTGCTGGTATAATGTTGGGGAGGTGCCTTGTAAATCTTGTTGGGTTTCAGGAACTTCCTGAGACTTGTAAGTCCCTCCAGATAGGAATGTTTCAATTAGGGGGAAATAGCTAGAGAACAGCACCATAAGCCAGATAAAAAAGACAGTCCAGGTTCATCATCCCATCTATTTTGGAGGTTGAGGAAGGGTGATTTCAGAGTCATAGTTTGCTTTGTGGAAGAGCAAGCTGTCCCATAGCAGGTGACACTGTTTGGTGAGGTTATTGAGTCTTTAGTAGGTGTAGCCTTTCTGGAAGAAGTCCACCACCGGGGATCTGCTTTGAAAGCTGATAGCCTCGCTCCATTTCCAGTTCGCTCTGCTTCCTGTTTGTGGCTCAAGATACGACCCATCTGCTTCCTGCTCCCATACTATGCCTGTCGGCTGCCATGTCTTCCCACCCCGATAGGCTCTTATCCCTTTGATCCATAAGCCCAAACAAACCGTTTCAAGGGTCACTTTTGTTCACAGTGTCTCATCCCAGCAAAAGACAAGTTACGAAGGCACCTGCCCTTCACGCTCCCTCCTGCTTTGAGTTCCCTCCCCGACTCTCCTCAGGGACGGACTGTGACCTGATAGCGTAAGATGGAACAAACCATTTCCTTCCCTGAAACTGCTTTTGATCAGAGTGGTTTGTTTGTGTTTTTAATCACAGCAACATAAAAGAAACCAGAACAATCCGGTAGGGGACTACTTGCTTGGTGTACAGGCCGGTTCCTGTTCCCCGGCATGATGCGACAATGGAGACCATCTGGTGAATCAAGGGCAGCTGTGGACCGTGATTTTTTTGTTGTTGTTGTTGTTCAGCACAGAGCTGCTGTATTGGGGGCATGCATTGTCTAAACTGTCTCTGATGGATGATGACTCACTGGGTCTCTGCAGGCCTGATGCGACGGTGCCTTCTACTGCAGAGAGACAGTTCTGTAATGCTGGGGCAGAAAGCCTGCAGCCCAAACCTCTCTTCCATTTGCTCCCATTTAGTTTTCTACTAAATATTTTTTATTTTAATTTTTGTGTTTTTTTTTCTTTCCTGGTATATCTCTAGCTTGCTTCACGTTCCTGGTGATCCCTTATGCCTCTGGAATCATGGGATTGCGGGTGACACAACAATGAACCTGCCTTATTAAAAAGTGAATGGACATCCCTGTTTATAGATCTTAGAAGGTGTTGCTGTTTTTTATTCTAGAAATTTCTTGGAGTTAGAGAGATGGCTTAGTGGTTAAGAATCCCTGCTGCTCTTGCCAAGGTCCTGAGTTTGGTTCCTAGCACCCACACTGGGCAGCTATAACCACCTGTCACTCATGTGCACATATCTCCATACAGACAAAAACATACACATAATGAAAATCTTTAAATAATACTTTGGGAGGGGTCTTTTTTTTGGCAGAGTCTTGCTCTGATCACCAGATAATCTTGAACTCAGGGTAGTTCTGCTACTTCAGCCTATTAAGTGCTAGAATTATATGAGTACACCAACATACTCTGCCTTGGTAAACATTTTAACCAATACCTCTGTTTATGAAACTAAGATGGTTTTATTGGTTTTTAATTTTTTTAACTTTGTTTTGAGACAAGGTCTTTGCCCTAGGATTGTGGAAGTCACCAAATTTGGAAAGGTGTGTGTGTGTGTGTGTGTGTGTGTGTGTGTGTGTGCATGCACGCATGTGTGCATATGTGTTTGTGTGACTTATTGACATGAATGAATACCTGAGAAAAGCAACTGAAGGAATGAAGAATTTATTTTGACTTTGGCTCACAATCCACCATGGTGGGGACGCTGTGGTGAAAGAAACACAAGGCATCCACAGTCAAGAAGCAGAGAGGGATGGATGCTGGTGTTCAGCTTGCCTTCTCTTTTCCTTTCAGTCCAGGACCCAGCCTGCGGCATGGTGCCACCTACATTTAGGATATGTCTTCCTGCCTTGGTCAACAGAATCTAGAAACTCCCTCTTAGTCACGCTCAGCAGTGTGTCTCCTAGATGATTCTAGATCCTATGAGGTTGACCACAAAGACTAACTGTTGGGGAAGTCTTATGTCAATAAAGCAATGTTGAGCCAATAGGGAACCAAGATAGGAGGGACTAGGAGTCCAGGAGGACTCTGGGAAGGAGAAACACAGGAGAGTCAAGATGTAACGCCATGGGGTAGGAAGCCCGGAACTATTCTCCGGTAAGAGACATACTTAGATTATCAATTATGGGGTAATTACTTAAGTCAGAGCTAGCTAGTAAGAAACAAGCAAGGCCAACAGCTTCATAATGAATATAGCCTCCTGTGTGTTTATTTGGGACTGATGCGGCTCTAGAACCAAGCTGGCGGGAAGGCTTCTCTCAAAGAAAAAGTTTCTCGTTACAACTAACCATCCCACGTAAGGGACCAATGCTACATTAATTGCTAGATTCCAGCCCACAGAGCGTTTTCACGATATTGAAGACCCTGACCGATTGCATAAGGGCTGGAGCCCCATAGGACCCTGTGTGGGACACTCTTTGGGGACCTCGGGAAGGCACGCTCAGGCATTTGTTCCATCTGCTGTATAAGAGATTCTGGGCTTCTACCAGTTTAGTAGTCGCTTGTCACAATCATATGAATTCTGCTGGCAGAACATTGACACAAATATTTAGAGGATTTCCACCAGTTTATTGAACCAGAGACTGATTTAACCAGTTAGTTCACAGGGACCAACCAGGTAAAAATGCTTTTGATTTTATTTGGTTTAATTTCATTTAATTTTGGGCTGTGGTACTTTTAGAGACAGAGTCTTCCTCTGAATGTCAGGCTATCCTGGAACTCACTCTGTAACCCAGGCTGTTCTAGAACTTGCAGTCTTCCTGCATGACTCTCCCAAAGGCTGCCATCATGTCTAGCCTACATTGATTTACTTTTAACGGCTTATTTCATATTTTTTTATCTATGTGTGTGTGCTGGTGCCCATGGAGGTCAAATGAGGGTTGTCCAATCCACTAGAGGTGGGTGTGAGCTACCCTGTGGGTGCTGGAAACCGATCCCCAGGTCCTCAGCAAGAGCATCAAATGCTCTTAGCCACCAAGTCATCTCTCTATTATTACTTTAATAGAGTATCTTATTTATTTTTTGACAGTGTCATACATAAGACATACGCATGCTGCCTCCTGCCTTCCAACTCCCCAGACAGCCTCTAACTTGCCACCCTCCTCCCTTCATGCCCTTTTTTCTCTCCCCCAGAGTCCAAGCAGTGCTTCCTGTGGGATTGTTGGCCTATGTTGTTGGCTATATCTTATGCAAGTAGCTACATTAACTTAGTTTTAAGTCACGGATGTTCTTAAAAATTCATTTTTTTCTGGAAAAAAATGTACTCCTAACTATATAAAAATAAGGACTAATGTGAAAAGAGTAAAGTTGGAAAAAATGCCCAGTTGGAGGGGGAAATGTGTGTCTTTAAGTATTTTATTACTAAGACTGGGACAGGAAGTTTGTGGGCTGCCAAGTTCTGGAGAAGGATGGATTGACTGTTCTCTTAATGAGTCCCTTTGAGCCAATCTGCTTTTAAGAAATTAGAATGTA